GCTGCCGACATCAAGCAGCAAGGTGATAGGACCACGGACGTTAATCAGCCCAGCGGCTTCCACGTCGGGCTCACACGACGTCGAAAGTCGACCTGTACCACTGGAGCCGATGATATTGTTGGACAGGTAGAGCGCGCACCTCCCAGTTGCTAACCCTCGCTGTTTGTGCCGTTGCAGTGCCACCACATACGCACCCCCAAACTCCCCCACCACCGGCATCGCCAATACCTAACCTTCACCATCCCAGCTTTTTAAACTAATCGTCGTCGTCGTCGTCGTCGTCGTCGTCGTCCAAGTGTTGTCATTTTCCGTACTTTAACATTTGTATCCGCTCGTTGTTAACTGCTAGTTTTTTTCTATGACACTAGTCTTTTTGCTGTCGGTATTAACTTAACCAACATTTAGTCCTTTTGTGTTTCTCACTGAGTAGCTCTTCAGTTCGCTAAAAGTCTCTGGGTTTAACTTCTGCTAGATAGTTCCAGATTCTAAGTAAACCTATCCGGTATCAGTATAGGGCAAATCCATCAAGTAATCTTTGCACAGAGGATTTAAAACTTGTCTTCCTACCACAATCGTGTGGATGCATTGGTGTGAGCAGTTTTGTTGCAGTCAAAAGGCCATTGATTGCCCTGCCCAACCTCAGTCTCATGCTCAACTGCCGAGAGGATCTGGCTTCGGTTGTTGCGTGAATATTTAACAACGGCAAACACGTAAGAGAGAGCTGGTCGGGCTTTCGCTTCTGCTTCCCACTTTTCAAAATAATTTGACTTTTTTTTCTGTTGCGTTCGATGTTCTGAAGGGACATGCTCACACATTTCCTCAGACGGAAGTTTTCTTATATGCACTGTTTCAAATGTAGCAGGGGGTTTGCTCTTAACTGCCCTTCGCGTTTTGTGGTAATGAATTCTCATTTTGTATTGCACACCGGTCGGGATAAGAACATTGAGCTCATCAGTTTGAATTCAGTAAACCAGTTGCCGCTAACTTGCTGGGCCGCCGCTCCAATCTGTACCTCTAGTTGCGGTACCTATTTCTGCCTCCGGCATCGTCCACATCAACATCCTTTAACGAACTCTGACCGTCATTTATTTGACACCGACTGTGTTCTCTTTAAGGTCGCAACTTAGCCTCTTGACCCCGGTTTCTTTTACCCGCGTATTTTAATGCACCTCCCAGTCGAAAAACCAGCATATGTCCTGCGCTGAAACACAGGCCACGCAGAAGACTCTTGTCACGAAGTCCCCGCATGCGTAGAAGGTGCACACAAGAGTTTGGTGCGGTAGTTCGCGGGACAGAGGACTCTTACGTGTGAACGGACTGTTTTATGTCTGTGTGACAGAGACGCATTGACTAGCAAAATTGGTGGAGCCTAAAACAGGGCAGTCACTGCCGAAAATAATGAGTTTTAACCACGATGTTCGTCTGCATACAGTCAAGCGCTTTTGAATGGCAGTTAGCTTGGGGCTATTGAGATAGTCACATATACTGGTTTAAGAGACCTCTCCGAATAATTTTTGTCATCAGGGCCAATGTGGTACCGGCATGCTTATGTCAGTGCGTATCGCTCATCGTTCTCCTCTTTTGCCACCTGTTACATAATCGCTCTTTTTAATCTTAAATTAGATTTCCGAAAAGTAGCTTAATTGATTTTTCGTCACACAATTTTTAAATTTTAACTCTTACATTCGACATTAAAATGATTTTTTTCACCAGCACTCGCAACGCATGCTATCGGTCTTTTGGTGTTGTCGGTTGTTGTTTGCTTTCTACGCACAGGCTCCTGCCTTGTTTGCTTTTTTGCAGTCCTTTTTGCAATACTTCTGTTCCTCCAATCTCCCGCAGACCTAATCAGGCTTTTCTTATCTTTCATTTCTTCCGCCCCCTTCGTTCGCCCCTAACTTCTTTTGGGCAACCCGATTTAGAAAGTTGACACTGCTGCTTCATCTAGGAAACTAGACGATCAGGTAGGTTCCTTGCTCCTCTCTGAACCTAATCTAAGTCATTAATCTCCTTTTGAAGTTTTTCTTTTTTGTCATCGTTTTGGTCGAAACTCGAATAAATTAAACTGTAGTTTTAGAAGACGCTGCCCTGCAATTGGAGCTGGAAGTTGGAGCCACTCGTACCAAATGTTCCGAAATCACTTTTAGTTTGTGGGTGATTCAAAAAAAAATAATTTCTGCTTGAGATATTGTGTTCAGTGCGAGAAGCTTACTTCAGGCTTCTTCAGTTTCTTCATCTCTCTACTTCAACCGTTTACACGGCGAACTTCTCCACCCTGTTAGGAGCGTGGGAATAATAGACGCAGTCAGGACAAGTATAACTCACTCTGTAGCCGGGTCAGCTATTTGAAGACTTACAGGTTGCGGGTTTTATTCTCCGGTCTATTTTATTTGATGATGCCCCCTTTCCAGAACTGCCATCCTCTTATCTCGTCTGGCGTTCGTTTACTACCGCGGGTCATAAAGGGATTTTGGAGGCGGCTGACACTTGATATCTTCTTAAGTTTTTTTCTTCGTCTTTTAAACATTTTTGGCTTCCAGCCAGCCAGCCGCCGCTACTACTGAGTTGCAGTGCAGTCTGCAGCCATTCTGATTAAGCGCAGAATGACTCATGTGAACGGGCACACTGCTATGCTCCATCAGGTAGGCACAGTTCTTGCGCGCCTCGGTGATGTCACAGACAGCAAGCGAATGCATTGTCAACATTCACAGTTGACACGCTTTAGGAGCATCTGTTTCGTTCATCTTCGCAAAGCTACACCAGCCCCCTCCTTTGTAAGGATCCCCTGGGTGCCACTGTGCAGACATTACAATCTTAAAATTGGCAGGCTGTACAGAAAGAAGACTTCGTGTTGACCCCCGTCCACATCTGTTTCATATTTACTGGAAAGCAAACATTTGTAAAGAATTTCATTCAGTAATGACACCTACAGTCTCCAAA